TAACTCAGAATTGCAGGAATACAAACTTAAAGATAAATGAGTCTACCCTTGGGGTGGGAAGCTCTTGGAGAAAAAAAAGATGCCTTTTAATTACATCACCCCAGCAGGCTATCCACTTGTGGCTGTGTACTTTTCTGACATTTGTCTTTCCCACTACGACCATTTGTGTTGACCCAATTCTTTAAAGACTGCCTAATTTTGAAATTGTTGAGATTCACCTCAATAATAAGTAGCACCATGTCCTACTTATCCCAAAGTCTCCGGGTGTCCAGGGTTAGCTCATGTTCAATGTTGGGAATATTGGTCTTCCCTATGCAGGCAATCAGTGTGGGGAGCCTGGAAACCTATTCTAGGCTTAGCTGTGCCCAGAGTGTTTCTCTGTGTGATAGTAACTGCTCTAAAGCAGTAGGAAATTGGTCATATTAGCAAATGAGATGGATTTAATTAATCTAAGAAACAAAACACAAAATCCCTTAACTGTGCTATGATTGGTAAGCAGAGAGGTCTAGTTGTTCTCTCTGCATTCTGTGTAGAGGAATGAAATATTGGGGACTTTAAATAAGCATTGTTCATCCATGCCCTGATGTGTTCCTTGTTCTGAACTGTGTCAGGCTGGCCAGGTGTTAGGAAAACTACTGTGGTTTCTGTATTCAAAAGAAAAGGTGTTTTTACATGGTCAGTTTTCTTTTATTTGATATTCATATATGAGTACTTAATTTCTACTCCTCCCTCTCCTTCAATTCCCCCCATGCTCCCAATCACTCTCAAATTCAAGACCCTTTCTTCTGTCATTACATTGACATGCATATATATATATGTGTGTGTGTGTGTGTGTGTGTATGAATATATATACATATATGCATATATGCATATATACACATACATGTAACATGCATATATTATACATATGTGCATATATGTACATATATATATATATATTCTTCCAAATGTATTTGGTGTTACTCTTATGTATGTATGTATCTTAGATAGGGTTTCTACTGCTGTGATAAAATACCATGACCCAAAAGCAACTTGGAGATGAAAGGATTTATTTTGCCTTACAACTCTCAAGTCACATTTTTATCACTGACAAAAGTCAGGGCAATAATTCAAGGCAGGAATCTAGAGGCAGTAACTGATGCAGAGGCCATGGAAGAGCATGGCTTTCTGGCTTGAAGCTCAGAACTTGCTCAACTTGCCTTCTTTACTGACTGGTTTGTCACCAGCTAGAGTCACCAGAGAGGAAGGAGCTTCAGTTGGGGAAATGCTGACATGAGATCCAGCTGTAAGGAATTTCTCAATTAGTGACCAATGGGGAGGACCCAGACCACAGTGGGTGGTGTCATCCCTGGGCTGGTGGTACTGGGTTATATAAAGTGAGCTGAGCAAGCCAGGGGAAGCAAGCCAGTAAACAGCTCTCCATGACCTCTGCATCAGCCGCTGACTCAGAGTCTCTGCCCTGAGGACCTGTTCTGACTTCTTCAGTGATGAACAGCAATGTGGAAGTGTAAGCTGAATAAACCTTTTCCTCCCCAACTTGCTTTTTGGTCATGTGTTTTGTTGCAGCAATAGAAACTCTAAGACACCTTCTTACACCCTCCAGAACCACTTGCCCAAAGGTGACACAGTCCCCAATGAGCTGGGTCCACATCAAGAAAATGCACCACAGTCTTGCCCACAGGCCAATCTGATAGAGCCATTTTCTCAATTGAGGTTCCCTCTTTCAAAGTGACTCTGGCTTTTGTCCATTGCAGTGAAACTAGCCAACACAACTGGTATGGTCATTGTACACCTCTTGTTTAGGCAACTTTATCGTTGAGATTTCATAAGTGCAACTTCCCTGCCATGTCTAAAAGACATTGTCTCACAGAAATCCTAGTCTTCTGGTTCTTATAATCATTCTGCCCACTCTTCCACAATGTTCCCTAAACCATAAGTGTAGGGTTGTGTTGTAGGTGCACTAACTGGGGCTTGTCATTCGCAGTAACTTAATCCCTCCATATTGGATTTTCTTCCAGTTATGGATCTCTGTAGTAGTCTCTATCTGCTGCACAAAGAAGAATATTTGGTGAAAAGTAAGAGCTGCACTCATCTATGGATATAAGTATAAACATTTAAAACATGGTCATCAATTACATTGCTTTTGGAAAATAGCAGTAATATGGTATCCTCTTAGGTATATGACCACTCCACAAATCCACTCCCATGGAATTGGCCTTCAGTCCAATTAGACAGCTATTGGTTGCCTCCCAAGACAAAAGTGCCACTTTTGCCCATTGGGAAAAACCCCAGCAGGTCAGTTGTGGCAGTTTACAGACTTTACAGCTAGGTAGGAGGACTACTGATTGTTTTCCTCCCTCGACAGCTTGCATAGCATTTTATTCTACAAGAGTAGTCCTCAAGGTCAGTTCCAGCTCAATTAGTCCAAACCCTGTATTCTATTCGAGGTGTTGGTGTTTTCAGCAGTAGGATCTTATCTTCAAGTTCTGGGAGACAATTGAGGCAATAGCAATAGCCTATATTTTGAATGGAGTCTTTCGAATCCCTGTGACCAACAATACAAAGAGAAGTTTCCCATGCCTGGCACTAAGATTTTTGTTAAATAATTTATGACTGTTCCAGAGAGAGTATTATTGTTCTGTGTGGTATAATTCCATTTAAACTTGTGTGTGTGTGTGTGTGTGTGTGTGTGTGTGTGTGTGTGTTTATATATGCATATGCATACACACGTATACTGTATGTGTATTTTAAGTAAACTTATAAAAGAATGTTTCCCTATGGTTTTGTCAAACATACTTATTTTTATTTATCTCTGCTTCTCTCCTTCCCTCTGTTAGTTTCCCTGACCAGTGTTCCCCCTTCATAGCACCTGTTTCCTACTATCTGCAACTGTAGATAGTGTGCACACACACACACACACACACACACACACACACACACACACATCCATGCACACACAAGACACACACATCCACAATCAAATAAGACACCATAAGGCATTTGTCATGGAAACTGCATTTTTTTTAGATCAAGGATAACCTGAACTAGATAATGCTGTAAAATGCATGCTGTATACAAAGTGCTGAAAATATTTTCAATACACCAACTTATGCATTTAAATCTACCCTGAGTACTTGTAATCTGTTGTGTAGTCATAACAAAATTGGCTCTGGATTTTAATCTAATTTGAATCTCTAACTAGATTTGTGCCATTGACTAATGGTGCTGGTATTAACTGCTACTAACTACATTTTAGAGTTTAGGGCCCAGATATTATAATCCATTATTTATTATCCATTTCTCCATTCACAAGTATTTTAGTGTCTGTTTTGTTCAAGACATTGTTTTACATTCTATGACTATGACAAATGACCAAAGGTTCTTTTCTCAGCTTAGTCTTTTATTTGAGACAATATTTGTAAATAAATAACCTTAACAACATACAAAAGGAACAAAGGCTCTAAGCTAAGTATAAACACAGCTATGAGGGCTCATAAAAGAACAATGTTCTAAGCAAAAAAGAATTTGAAACCAGGTATGATAGCATGTACCTGTAATTACAGCACTTCACAGGCTGGGGAGGGAGGATCATGGCTCAAAGCCAACCTGGTCTACATAGCCAAACTGTCTCAGAAAAAAAAAGGAAGAAAAGGAACAAGTTGTGGAGATATAACAGGTCAGTCAGAAAAGTCCCTGATACACAAGCATGAGGACCTGAGGCTGGATCAGTGGAGATATAATGTATGAGAGAAATTTTAATTTAATTTTAAAAATATAGATAGATAGATAGATAGATAGATAGATAGATAGATAGATAGATAGATAGATATAAGATAGCAAATCATTAAAGACATGAATTAAAGACATGACGTCTGGCCTACATGTGCACACACACACCCCCCCCACACACACACACCACCACCACCACCACCACCAAGGGGAAGGTATCCATATGCTGTGATGTTTGGAATACAGAAAACAATTCTTTTCCTAACTCTTTTCATTTCCATTAAAGCCGCACATTGTCACACTGTGCTTCAGTGGTTTGCAGCCTTTTTGAAGAAGGGAAACATAACTAGACATGTTAACATGGATGAGGACAGCTCAGGAGACCTCAGCCCTACACAGAGAACTACAGTCAGCTAAGAAATTCTGAGAGTAAGAGACATAATCTCCTCCAGGGAAGAGCACAGCAATTGGTTATCCAATACCGAATGGTCAGCCCTGAAATCATGTGGTGTGTGTGTGTGTGTGTGTGTGTGATTATGACTACTAAGTAGGTTGTATTTGTATTTGTGTATTTAGGAATGTATAATGAACATACATATATATATGTATATGCATATAGATAGATATACATACATATAGATAGATAGTTATGAATAGATAGAACACATATAAACAAAGGAAAAGAAACTAAGAATGTGAGTGACAGCAAGGGAGTTTGGAAGGATGAAAGAATGAAAGGAGGAATATAAATATATATATATTCAAACCTAAACAGAAAAGAGACTAGAATAGAAAGTATCAATGGGTGCTACACATGGTAAGAATCTCTGGATACTTGAAGTGGGGATCACAATGTTATTTTTCACAAAGATTCAAAGTCAATTAACACTCTGGTATTTTCCATGTTATCCTAATCCCTTATCCTGCTGCTGTCACTGTTCTTCAAAGTCTGCATTGAATTGTCAGCTGCAGTGTGGACTATTTGCAATGGAAGCCTTCCTGCAAACATGCATAAAAACTCAATATTTCATAGCTAAATCTACTTTAACTTATCTCAGCATACATGGGCTCACTCTACAGTGCAGGCCCTGAGGTTCTCTGCTGCAGAGCTCAGGGCCTGCTCTTCTGTAAAGCAGCAGGAATGGATAGGAAACAGTACTGAGACTTGTTACTCTCAAAATCAGTAATTGGAAATATTTTACAAACAATAGAAATTTTTTTCTAAGCAAAATGCTTAATTTCTTTTTCTTTTTTGCCTTTCTCTTTCTAAGCTGCCTGCCTTGTGCTTGGCTGTATGATTTTCCCTGATGGCTGGGATTCCGATGAAGTAAAACGGATGTGTGGAGAAAAGACAGACAAGTACACTCTTGGGGCCTGCTCTGTCCGCTGGGCGTACATCCTGGCCATCATTGGAATACTGGATGCCCTGATCCTCTCATTTCTCGCATTTGTGCTTGGGAACCGACAAGACAGCTTGATGGCAGAGGAACTGAAGGCAGAAAACAAAGGTATGATTATTTAAGGAACTCTTAGTGGATGTCTTAAGAACAAAAATTAACCCCAAACATCAGTCCTCTCCCTTTTGCCCTCAAGTCCTCTTTACCCCTGCATTTCTCATTGCTTCATGTTAATGCTTTTGGCTCTGAGACTTCTCGGAAGCCTCAAGATGTTTGCAAAACTAAAGTATAACATTGCATTTTCTTATTATTCTGAAGCACTAAGTTCATTGTGACTGTTTTGGTATTTTTTCGATGTCTTCTTCACTCTTTCTCTAAAACCTTAACTATCAGGAGTTAATGACTAAGAGGCAGCATTGAGGGAGGAGTATTGATATGATTGAATGGAATGTGCTTCTCTGTGGATAGAGCTGTTTTCCCAGAGTGCAATACATACGAGAAATCTTTCACAACCATCATAACCACTGGCTTTGAATTCAAACTCATCCTGTCAGAAAGAGAGAAAGAGAGAGATTCCTAACCCTGAGTGGTTGTAGAGATTACAATATCACCCCAGTTGCTGTACTTCTCAATATGTTATCCGGGTAACCAACTGCTCAGATTTCTTCCCAAAAGGAAATTATTTATTGAAATACAAGGAAATGGGGATATAGAACAGGACATTAACTGGTGTCTAAATATACTGAAGTATATCAGAGTAGGTGACTGAGAGTCAGTATATCATTATTCAGGGTGAATCTTGTCCTTTTTCTTCTGAGTTGCTGACCCTATTCTTTGGGGTGGAAATTTAATCACAAGGGTTTGTTCTGGCCTTAGATTTGTTTGATGTATTTATTCTCTGTGAGGTTGGGGGTTCATTTTGTTGGTAGTTGGTTGATTTTTTTTTTTTTTGAGATAAGATCTTCCTTTGTAGCCCAGACTGACTCCCGATCTTCCCCTCCTGATGCGGCCTCCTCAGTCCCCAGATTGAGCCATGTTCCACCATTCGTGACTCTGCATTTTATCTGTTATCTTTATGCTTTGCTTTACGTTATTGCCTTCAGCTGAGTGGCTCCTTCTAGCTTTTTGTTATATCTATCTTGAATTATAAAATCTAGATACTATTTTTAACAAGGCCTCTAATGCAAGCATGTATTATCCTGCACATGAACATCTCATGTAATGGTCTCATAACCAGCTTCACAGGTAGCCATCACTGCCCATCTTGTAAAGTAGGAACATGAAACAACGGTAAAGGGAGTCACCAAGAGGGCAGCAGAGACCCAGGAACTTCCACTCCTTGGCTTGTAGACACAGCATGCATTACTTACTTAATCCTATCAAGAATGTTTTAACCACAAAAGTAACTTCCTAAGAACAAAACTACCAGGGCTGGAGAGATGGCTTATAGGTTAAGAGTACTGGTTGCTCTTTCAGAGGACCTGGGTTCAATTCCAAGTACAAACATGGCAGCTGACAACTGTCTGTAACTTCAGTTCCAGGGTATCTGCCACCCTCACATGGAGAATACACAGGCAAAACACTGCTGCACATTAAATAAAGAAATCTTAAAAAAAAAAAACTTTCCCACTTTCCTGCAGAGTTACCCCTTGTAGAGTAAAAAACACTCACTATAAAGAAAACAGTTATACTTTTGTTTATGTTACAGATTTAGTATTTTCTATACATTCGTTAGTTGTTTTTATAAACTTATCATTCAAAAAACTTGCAAATAACTAAAAACATCACACACCCAAATTAACTAGACCCAAAGTCTATACAACTTAATGAACTGATATACAGTTAGAATTAGCACTCTAAATAGAGCTGTGATGCTTCACATTAGATTTTACACATTCAGTATTGAATATAGTTTATGTATTTACATACCACCAAAACCAAAAAAGAAATCCATGATAAAATTAGAACTAGAAAAAAAAAAGCTTTATATTCTCTTTCATAACTTTCATCCACTACCTGCATTCAGTTCTTTCTTGCCTCCTTGTATTTAAGCTTGTCTTGTTCTCTTTTCTTCATGTTATACTGTACCCATGCATATGTTTATCTTAATATGTCATGCACTCATCATGTAGGCCTCTTGTCTGTCTCTTTAGTCTGTTGGAGATACTCAGTTTTCTGTCTTCTTCACTTCATATTTAATGGTAAGGATATCTCAAATTTGCCAAATTCCCTTTCTGAAAGGAATGCTTTATGGCTACTTTGTTCTGCAAATATTCTAATTCCTTCAGCCTCTAGTAATGGGCCAGAATGCTATTTGTTCCTTTACTATTCAAAGTTACACTGAAACTTTTGATTTCTCAGATCTTCAGTGACCACAATACAAGAGAATTCAAAGAAATATAGTTAAAGTCAGCATCAGTTCATTTGCCACAGATAAGAGAGATCCAAAGAAGTACAGAATGCATCAAACTGCACGATTTAACATTTTAATGTCTTAGTCCAAAGTCCTTAATGTGAGACTCTGAGGTGATACAAAAGCTGTGCTATACAGATTTTTCAGGCCCTTAGAAACTGGATTCTCTATAAACCAAGTGAGGACTTCAAAGCTATGTGTAAAATTTAACCAGACCTACATGTTTCTGAGAAATGATACAAGATTTGCTGTTGCAAGTAACCTTTGTTGTTGGAAGGTTGAACCTTCTGAACTCAGATTATCTGAGACCAATCAATGATTCTAAGAGTAATATGCATGAGCCTAATTTATAATCATGAATGGTCATCCTCACAGCTGCATGAATATATTAATATCACTGTTGACAAATTAAAATATTAGTATTAGTTCTTATGGATAAGAATACCAAAATGTCTGTTGCGGGGACAAATCTTTGTTTTGGTTCCATGGTAGTACATGGAAATGGTGACAAATGTAATCCTACTTAAATTTTTAGAAGACTGTATATATCCCAGGATGATTTCTGGTTCTAAGCAGCCAGGCAGTGCTATATGTGAAACCATAGCTCAAAAGAGTAAAAAATGTATACATTTTTATATCAATATCACTGTACATTGTGACATCTTCTATAGTCTTTCAGTGTTATAGCCCACCAACCATATCAACATGCATTTTACAGGTAGCAGATGCATAACAAGGAACAATATATGATCATGATGTGAAATATACCAGTAAGGAGTATATCTGCTTTGGGGATGGCTGTAATTAACTCTACAACACGTCCTCTACTGTATGTGCAAAAGCCACCATGTAGATAGACCCAGGTTTTCTGTATATCTTTATAACAAGGATATTGCTTAGACCCATGAATCCTTCTTGGCAGCCACCCTAATTTGATAAAGCAAAATCACTGCTGCGTCAGTCTCAGAATCAATCAGGGAAAGGAACTTGGTTCTAATTATTGACCATACCCCACCCATAAAATCTTAAGGTAAACGGAAACACAAAATGCTTCTGAATCATAAGTCAATCATCACAAAGATGCTATTCCCTGAGAAAACAAGGAGGGAATAGATAACTAACAGTCCCCACCTCAGCCACATGCCCTCATCTCCGAGACACATCTCCAGTGCACTTGCCCCAGGCCCACTTCAACATGCCCTTCAGTATTTCTTGAAGCTCTCCTCCAGAAGCACGAAGGTCACTTGAAAGATACCCCAAATGGAACAGATTGTAAATTATGGAATGGAAAAAAAAATGAAAGCAAAGGCATTTTCCCATATCTTCAATCAAATTAACAGCCACATTGCTATGTCTCTGCTTTTAGGCTGAGATCAAGTGCAGTGTCTGTTTTACAGAAAATCACAACTTGGAAGGGCCACGTATCCTCACAAAGGATCAGCTATGGAACTTGGTGGAAGTGACTGAGTAATTTTTAATGGGAAAACAGTTTCACTGAAAAACAAAGGGAAATAAAAACTGTATAAATCCAGTTAATCTTGTACCAGATTCGGTCCATTGGGGGAAAAAACCCACCAGCTTCTCCTGTTCTGACCAGAGGACACAGGACTGTAGGCTAGCCTAGCAGAGCAATGGTAGTGTTTTTCTTGCTTAGGAGTGCAGCAGAAGGATTTATAAATTAGCCAACAGCGGTTGGCATTTAACCTTGATATGCTGTTTAATTGCATATTTTAACACACTGAACTGTGAAGTCAATTTAATTGTGTTAAATTAAAGTTTCACCCAGATAAAAAGGATTTGAAATGAAAGCTCCAATTTCAATTTCTTTCATTAGCTGTGAAAGGATAAATAATTATGTTTTCCAGAGCTCTTCTACCACAAATATCTCTTTTCTTGTCAGACATCATTATGAAGAGGTGTGTGTGTGTGTGTGTGTGTGTGTGTGTGTGTGTGTGTGTGTGTGTGTGTGTTACTTCTTAGATGATTGGGTCCTCTCATGAGCAGCCTTGAGACTTTGTCTTTCAGCACAAGAACTGCAGATAAGGAAACTTGATCTAGAGATGACTCAAGCTACCGCTTATTTATTAAGTTCTTTAAGCAGTTTTTAATGCTATAATAGGGGAGGGAAATAAATTTATCTTACTTACCTAATTGAGAAGACCTTTGGAAATTTGATTTTAGACGTCATATTATGCTATGACCACACTCTGAGTGGCAGTGTGGTATAGTGTGGTGAAATGAGCCTGTAGGTGGCTTCAAGCTGCCCAGCTGTGGTGGCCAGCTGTGGTACTGTCCCTGATAGTTCTGCAATTAACCCTCCCAGTCTGTAAAATGTAGAGCTTATACAAATAGCATCTGAGGTTCTTCCCAGGACTGGAGATAAGAGGGTTATAAGAGCCCCAGACCTCACAACCATGAACACATTATTTTCTGGAGTCTGTTGAGAGGCAGGTTGTCTAGGAAAAGGAAAACTTAGAGGTCAAGGGTTGAGACTCTGAGATACCTTAAGTATTCTTCTCTCTCCAGTGTGTGCACTCCTAGTGACCTACTCATTACTTGCCTGCTCATGCATAACCCCAAGAGCCTCAGCTCCATCTCAGTAAAAGAAGAATAGTACCCAGTCTACCTCTGAAGCTGAACAAAGCATGAGGTGGAAACATTTATCTATAAGAGGGCTGGCATCGGCTTTCCATGTGAA